GAGTATCAACTAAAACTGGAGTATCAACTATTTAAAGAAAGATTGCGTAGTGAAGGACACGGCTGAATAGTGACATGATCCACTATATAGTCATGTCAAACTAATAATTATTATTATAACTGTTGAATAAAATAAGTGTTAGATACATGTATATACAGGCTAGTAGTTATATAGTTCACTGGTTATTTCTAAGTATTAATTCTATTATATCTAATAGTCTGTCCAACTGGTTCATTACACAATTATTGTGTTGTCCCTGCCACCACCACCCTCCTCTTCCTCTCCCTCCCCTTCCTCTTCCTCCCCGCAGCCACCGGCCCCTTCCTCTTTGGTGATGCCACGGTCTAGCTCCATAAAAGTGACTCTGGAACTGCTGCGGGGCCTGCCATCTCTGTCGCCCTGTCCCTCTGTTAGGATGAATCCCTGGCCTGCCTCCTCTTCCTCTCCCTGGTCTACCTCGCCCGGTACCTCTACGAGGAGACCCGTCACCTCTACCACCACCCCCTCTTCCTGCTCCTCTACCCTCTCCCCGGTACCAGTCGGCGACCACGACCTCCACTACCGGTACCACGGTCAGCAGCTATTTCATCGGGACGCCTGTCTTCCCGTCTTGGAGGTGGTGGTCTTCTGTGTGGTGGTTCTGTGGCTGAATCATCGCCAGTCTCATCTACCGGTGGTAGCCGATTTGGAGTCCCTGGTTGCGAGTACTGCATTTCCTCCTATTGAAGATTATGTAAATATATAACTTATTTAATTGTAATTATCATGCAATCATTTACATCGTTGTCGTTAAGTAGATCATACTCTTCATTGTCGTCTCCAATTTTAACTTCAATCTTCAGTACTAAATAAATCAGTGAATGCGCAGCTGTTGTAATTAATAATTTAGGAGCCAACAATAATAATTAATGTGTCAAGAATTAATTAATAGGTATACAGTCTAGTATAATAGTTCATAAAAATTATCCAATCAAATTATGCCACGCCTTAATTATTATTATTATTAGCCAATAATATAACTAAGCAACCGAAGTAAGACGCTCAGTTTCAAAAATAACTTCAGTTTAGAAGATGGAAACTTCCTTACCAAAAACGGTAGCTAAGACGATGCGAGTTTTACCTCGATGGATGCTTGAATCCACCAATCAACAACAGGCACACACTACAACGGTATCGTCACATAAGAAGCAAAAGAGGAGAGACATCATAGATTCTTTCTATGGCCCGCCAATAAAGCATCGTGTACCATTACAAGACTTGAGTAATAATAAAAAAAGACGCCTTGAATATTTAAAAGAAAAGCAAAGGGAACATAGATCTAAAGAATCTCAAGAAGATAAGATCAAAAGATTGAGAAAGATGCGGGAATATGCACAGAGGGCTAGATCTATACATAATGAATCAGCAGATCACAGAGAAGCACGTCTAAGTGATCAAAGACACAGAAGTCAGCGAAGAGTTAACAATGAATCAGAGGCTCAAAGACAGGAACGTCTTGCTGACTTAAGTGAAAGATCACAGCAACAATGTGCCAGTGAATCAGAAGCTGAAAGAGAAGAACGTCTCTTAGATCTTCGTGAAAGAGATCATGAAAGAAGAGCCTCAGAATCTGAAGAGCAAAGAGCTCAACGTAATCAAATAATGAGAGAATATCGTAGAGAGTTATTGGCTAATCAGGCTCAGCGACCTCCAGCTCCCTCACCAGAAAGTATACGTCAGCAACAACTATCTAGAAAAGACCTTGAAAAGTTTCAGAAAGAAATACGGCTATCTCCAACCAGCATATGCTGTACATGTGAACGTCTGTGCTACCCAAAAGGTGTATCATTGGTTGATGTGAGTAAAGTACATG